GAGCTCTGTTGGCTTGGACTGCTTACGACTCGAGATTTGATCCACATACCGCGCGCGTAATGTTACGCCACTTGCCACTACACTGCTTTCCTTGCGCAATATGCCACATAATCTTGGGATGTAAAAATAGATTCGTTACCTTCGATTCGATACCTCCTTATTTTTTACTATTTCAGAAGCTTCATAATTGACAATTTTGTTGGTCCATCTATACTGAAGAATTACGTGCTGGAACGTTTCACGGATGCAACTTATTACTATTTGTTCCGCAAACGAGTGCGTCGAGATTACTCTTTCAGTTTCTGATCTCAGAATAGCTTTTCGCCATTCAGGTAGCACAGCAACTAGCGGTGCTAAGTGTACTGGAAATGCTTATACGTTTATCTCCATTGTTCCTCGAGGATGTATCCATCCGTACATCAACTGCTCAGCTGGCTGCTCCCCGATATAAATTTACCATTGGTGAAGGTACCTCAAACTGATTTTGTGATTTTCTCGATCTAGATATGCGGAAGTATTATTATTGTGCTTTTCTTGCAGATTCTCAACGCATTGTTCCGTTCCGGCTAACACCGAACTTCCAGTGGTTCCTCGGGATGACGATTGAAGGTATTTGCCCATTGAGTATACTTTTGCATTTCTGAATTCTTTTTCCTATTCTTATCCGAGGACTGCGCTTACAATCAGTGTTGGGCTGCGAGTTAACGATATCGTGTTCATGGGTTACTTGAAAAGTAAAATTTTTGTTCGACGGAGCTGCGCTTTAAACCAATGACGACAAGTTGATGCGGTAACGCGTCCCACTTTGCACACCATGCGGTTGCGCGTCCCAGCGCTAAATTTTGCAATTCAAGACTTGGTTTCTTCCTACAAGTAATTGTGAAAGACAGGACGAGCTAGGATGAGTAAAAGGTTTGCAGTGAGACTCTAATGGCGGACTTTACGATGAAAAGACAGCATAATTGAAATAGAGTTAGAGGTGAGCTGCACAGGGATGAGGAGAAACAGGACTAACAGCCTAGAACCCGGAAATAGGATTACTTTTTTGTCCGTTCGGTTCATCAGAGATTCTCATTGGTTCTAAAATAATCAACGCTAACGCTCTCTCTGATAAACTGACTAGAGTCAAACGGTCAGGGGGCAGCCAATAAGAGGGAGTGTTGTGGCGCGAGTGGCGCAGGTACGGCCCTGCTAGGCCGCTGGGCACACTCTTCGCTGCCGAGCGCGCCCCACGTTCGGAAGACCTGCCAGTTTTTCACCTAGGTATCTGTCCTCTTGGTCAACATCCGACCTTATCCTGGAATCTTTTCAAAGACACTGGTTTTACTTGTTCTCAGATTTGATGAACGAATGTCTATTTATTTCTGAAGATGTTAGAAACTAAAAAACTCATCGCGGACTGCGTGCGGAGGCGGGGAAAAGCCTGTGTTATCATAGAATCACTAGTCGTTCCCACAATTATCATGTGTTTATTGCTTTGTAAGCGCATTTTTTCACATCCGCCATGATAAACATTTCATATAGACGATATGGCAGCTATTTTTATGCTATGGTTTTTGTAGGTGATTTCTTGTGGGGCTGCTGCGGCAACTATACGATGTCTTTTCCGGCGGGATCAACATTTGCTACTTCGGCCGTTAATTCTGGATGAAATAGTAACAAATGGTAATCATGATCAGGTGAGTACTACCACTTTTAATACGTCGACGACAGCGCACATTTCGGCATTTTTGGCCATGCGGACAGGCGTCATTTTACCAGTGCGGCCACCTCATCTCACATCCGTAAATTTTGAGTGGTGACTATGCAAAACGCAAGATCATTTTGACAGTGCTCAACGTGTCGAACTTGAAAGAGGGTATAGTGGTGGAACATCTATCAAAAGAACGTGTAATGGTCATAAAAAACAAATTTTACTATTTTTCTCTGTAATATATGTAGGTGTTTTTTAACGTGGATGTGCCATGAGAAAAATCTTTTTTTTTCTATCCGTTTGTACTCTTCTTTAATTACACGTTCATGAGAATAGGAAAAAGCGAGAAATGAACCGAGGTGCCGATTTCGTAGCGCTTAGAAAACCACTGCTAAACCGAAGCATATTTGACCACACGACGAACCAAGTCGTTGACAGTTACAGTAGCGGTCGAAAGCAGGGTCAACCGTCACGTTGGACCGATTTCGAAAATTTTACGACCCTCTCCCCCTTCTAGAGGGCCTCGATACGACCCCCTCAGGGTCAACCCTTCACCACCCTCGCCATTATATAGTATTCGATTCTGAGACCAGTCGACACAGCCAAACTCCGCCCACTTTTTTCCTCCAAAATTGCCGTCGAGCGGGGGAGGGGGTATATACCTACCACGAAACCGCAAACATCCTCTCACTTTCCCTCTATTTCACCCATATTTCCACTGCAACATTTTCTAGGGGGGCATATACACACCGTGAAACGGCAAAATTTTAGCGCGCCAACCAACTGCATCATCACTTCCCTTACTGTAACATTAACGCTACCTCGCAAAATACGATCCCGAGGGCGTTGCTTAAACGAGAAAAAAATAATGCACTAAAAATCGTTTCAGCGAACACTTTTGACCGCTACTGTATGTAAGTGTGATCTATGGAACGAATATAAACGATTTGGGAATAAATCGCGCAAGCGCGGGAAAGGGGGATGACTGGGGTGGGACGCGCAACCGCATGGCGTGTGAAGTGGGACGCGTTACCGTATCAACTTCTCGTCATTGTGTTAAAAGCTTTCTGGTAATTGGAACTGCGTATTTCTAGGCAAGCGCTTGCGTCGAGGCGAGTAAATTCATCTCAAAAGTGACTGCCTGAAACAACTAGTGAGTTCCTTGCATTTCTGTTTATTCGTGTGTTCATAAAGATTTTCTTTGTAATTTGTATTATCTTTCGGAAAAAAGTGGACAACCCCTTTTCAGGGATGGCCACACAGGAAGCATATTTACTGCAAGAGG